TTGCAGAATATTTGAAGGTAGGTAAATGACAATTTACCAATTTCCACCATGAAAAACGAAAAATGAAGTTTAAGTTTTAAATGAATTGAAACTCCTAGATCTTTTTGAGATTCATTGAACCTTTCAATGGCATGTTTAATCTCGATTATGCCCTTCATATTTGTGACTGGGATGCCGAGGATCACAAACAAGGTGTGAATAACCATACGAATCACGTGGTGCACCCAATGCTACTATCACCTAATCAATGTGTCGGTTAGCCACACACGCTCCATTGATCTATGATAAAAATCGAGCCACCCTTCGCCACCAATGTCAATCCTAAATTAGTGTGCCGGTTAACCACACACGCTCCAGTAACGTTCGCCAAGGGTACGAAGTGTAATTCCATGGATTAGTATACAATTTCACATTTTTCCTAAAGTAACTGTGATTTGGGAATTTGTAAAAACATGTAGTTACTTTGTCCTTCATTATACTTATAATGGAAGGTTTCGTCCTATCCTACCCGTTCGGCTAACGACCCTCCACTAGTCAAGAGTGCGGTGGGTAAGAGTGGATACCCATTCGATCGCCAATTACAGACACTTTCCTTAAACACCCCTTATAGACCAGCTTTGTGAATGAGGCCTACTAACGGTAAGACTGACTGTTTACTCATACATATATATAATATTAGACTTTTAACGTTATATATAGTATAGGGTGTATTTTATACTTTTAAAATACTAGGTGGTCTAATTTAATAAATTATACTTTTAATTTAATTAAATTTAAACCAAAACTTTATGGAATTATTAATTCTCTTTTAATTATACACTTTAATTAATTAATAAAACCATAAGGGTGTAATCATATTTAACTTTTTTCGAAAAATTAAAACTTTCTAATTTTAAACTCTTAAATATTAAAATATTGATTTAATAATTATCCAAAATTAAACAATTAATTTTAAATTATTAAACCTTGTAGGATTATGTATTAAATTAAACAATTAATTTAATCTAATCCCATATCCCCTAAGATTTGAAAATTTATGGAATGGGATAATTCATCAGATCTTTAATTATCTATTTAAGGAATCAATGATAATTACAAGATATGGCATTATCCAAATCCTTAAAATTTGGGAATCCTATCTAGGGGACAAGGCAAATTTCGAAATTCTAGGGTTAGACAACCCTAAAATCGAAATCTTGGGGCCAAAGGAAAGGGTTTAGGAAACCCTACCAAAATTTTGAAATCTAGGGTTTGGAAACCCTAATTTTGAAAATCAAGCCTCCAGGGTTTATTAGCCATAAACCCTAATTTGTCATGTTCATACATTTGTATCAAATCTAATTGAAAACAAAAACCTAAGGCTATGATACCAATGATAGGTTTTATACAAACAATCCTATGTGTGCATGCAACCCTAAATGGATCTATGTTTTCACTAATAGACATACAACTTTATGAACACAAAAGAAACCTGGGATACTCCTATGATTTTCGAAATTCACAAAGGAGAATATAATACATACATTTTGTTGTTATATAGCAATAACAACTAGTTCCTTGAATTTCCTTAGCTCTTAAAAGCAAGTACCACAAGTGTAGTATCTCTAATGGCTCACAAACACACTTTGGGTGAGAGGATGAATATGAGAGAGAGGAAAGGAGGCAAGAGGCTCCGAAATTGCACCCTAGTAGGGTTTCTCCAAGGGTTGGCCGAATTTGGTGCCTTAGGGTGCTATTTATACTTTAAGGCTAACTAGGGTTTCAAGGTGGAAACCCTAATCCCTTAGCTTAGGGCCTAAGCAAATCCATGGACTCCTTTCCTTAAGCCCTTGGACGAAAACTCCCAGATCCTTCTAGGATTTTCGGCCAAGCCTTAATAAAGGTGATCCAATGGCCCAAAGCCTTAACTATTGAATAATTACAAAATAGCCCCTATACTTTTAATCAGTTCCTTTAATCCCAAAATTAATTCTAAATTAATTTTTGATTAAATACTAATTAATAACATGATTGCAAATTATTATATTATTCTTATAATATAATAAATAAATCATATTTATGCCCCAATCAACCTCTCTCCTCAACTGTCATCCTGTCTAGTCACCCATGTGAAGGCAATCCAAAAGGACCATGCTCACAATCGGGTCAAGTACATACCAAAATAGTTATGGACTTAGACACTAATCCAACAAATTTTTCATATGATATTGGGCACATGGGGGAAAGTAATGATAAATTTCAATAGTAATGGCCTTTTGGGAAACTATTCAAGAAAATAGTTTCCATGGGAAGCAATGTAAACTTGTTTATACATTTGAAGCACCATGGTATTAAGTATTAACCGAAACACATTTCATATACATGTTTTAACATATATTCAATGTGAAATGAAAACTAAAATATCAATGATACAATCAATAAAATCACTTAAACTCGCTTCACTCCCACAACAGAAACCCTGACATACCAACGTATTGTTTGTTATAATAAATTAAAAGTGTGTTGCATAACATGATCACAAACACTAATATAACAAAAAGGAAAGGTAAAAAAATTCAAATTAAAACATGAAGAGAATAAATTTATTCATCAAGATGTAATTTATATTGATGTAACAATAACACAACCAAACTACAACCCTAATTCAAAAACAGGAAAGAAGACGCCACAGGTATTAGCGAGATTGGGGAGATATTGATAGTGTGGTGGCAATATAATATGATTAATGTCTATGTATTTGCATAGGCAATTTCTATGGTGATCTAATTCTTCACAACAAATTGGAGATGGTGAACCTTTTGCAATTAGAGCTGGATAACAATCCTTTATATCTTCATTGGGATTACAGTCTTAAGCGTGAACATCACCCAAAAGAAACATCATTGCAACAACAATAGCAAGAATAGATCTAGTGTTCATCATTTTACTAATCTTGTGATGAAAACTTGAAAGATATCAATATAAATATTGGGAAACTTGGCTTCTTATTACATTCACTATGGTATATATACTATAAGAAATTAATAATCAAAATAAACAATATTTTAAAGTATGGAAGGGATGATAATGTAACGCAAAAGACATTTAATGAGGTAATTAAGAATTTTGATAATGTAACGCAATATTTATATTAGTTGTTTTTAGTCACACCATAGGATTAAATGTAAGAGTTTAGTTTAGTTCTATGAATAAAAAGGTTTGGTTTTCTTTTTTACCAAAAATCCAAATGGATTCTTGCTAAAAAAATTGAAAGGGTATGTAAATAATTTTGTAATGTTTACTTAAAGTGTATAAAGCTTTGTGCGTTTGTTCAATCCCATAGTGGTATTTTATCAAGTAAAATTGGGTTTGTTTGGTTAATGCATTTCAAACAAATTTAGAGTAATTGTAATTTAAATTTCAATAGAAATTATGTTTGGTTGTCAAAATCAAACGAATTAGAGTTGTTTAGATATATCATTAATTTTCTCATCTAAAAGAATTTGCCTTTATTTGACTAAAGAAAAAGATTTTAGATTTCACTTCTTATGTTTTCTATAAAGACGAAAATGTCATCCCAACTTCTCTTTGTTTTATTCATAATTCATCAAATCAAAACAAATTATCATCATCTCTCTCAACAAACACCCTGACAACCTATTTAGCGAACTACATACCACCACAAACCTACAAACCCGACCTTAGCCTACATCGACATGCACACTACATCCAAAAGAACATATCGATGTCGACGCCTAACCTACCCCTACACCCACACCTATACCCGCATGCACACGCCTAACCTACACTCACCTTATACACATCTAACTCTAACACCAACAACGACACCATAATATAACATATGGATACCAAGGCTACTCTTTTTGTATGAACCTAACTTGGTAATGGTTTTCAACTTATAAAAGGATTGATATGTACAAGGTCTTGATGGGAGTTAATAAAACCAATAAGGTGATTGGCATCGGTTCAATGAACATATCGATACACGATATGATCATACAAAAACAAAGGTTACAAAAGTCCTTAGGCATTAGTCGGGCAGTCACCTGTTGTCAAGGGACTAACAAGAGTTTATATATTTAAGTAATTAAAAATCAAAATGTTTTGACTAATAGATGACATTTTTGATAATTTTAGTCACTAACGATTATTATAAGTTTGACTAATTAACAACTTATTTTGAAAAGTTTGATCGAATGACTTTTAGTGCATCTTGGACCGGCGAGGATAGACTCTAATTTATAAGAACAATTAGCACTAATCATAGACAATAAGATCCCATCAAACGCCTTGGTGGCCGCTAATGCTGAATTTTACAACACTGATCAATAGTCACTGTGGTACAACATGTTCCCAAGCACAAAAATACATTTTAGATATATTTGGGATTCAAATGGTTCAAGTACTCATGTCAAAACGAGTTGCTAAGTGTATCACAGTACGCATTAGTATTAATGAAAGGCTTTAAAGGGTAGATGTTTAATAAGAGCTAAAGGATGAGACAATACTTACCCGATAACAATCTCTAATTATTAGAAGATCAGCTTGGAGATGACCTGAATTTCATATGATATTGGGCACGTGGGGGAAAGTAATGATAAATTTCAATAGTAATGGCCCTTTGGGAAACTATTCAAGAAAATAGTTTCCATGGGAAGCAATGTCAACTTTTTTTTTTTACATTTGAAGCACCATGGTATTAAGTATTAACCGAAACACATTTCATATCCATGTTTTAACATATATTCAATGTGAAATGAAAACTAAAATATCAATGATACGATCAATAAAATCGCTTAAATTTGCTTCGCTCCCACAACAAAAACCCTGACACATCAACATATTGTTTTTTATAATAAATTAAAAGTGTGTTTCATAACATGATCACAAACACTATTATAACCAAAAGGAATGGTGAAAAAATTCAAATTAAAACATAAAGAGAATAAATTTATTCATCAAGATGTAATTTTAATTGATGTAACAATGACACAACCAAACTACAACCCTAATTCACAAACAGGAAAGAAGACGCCACAAGTATTGGCAAGATTGGGAAGATATTGATAGTGTGGTGGCAATATAATCTGATTAATGTCTATGTATTTGCATAGGCAGTTTATGTGGTGATCTAATTCTTCACAACAAATTGGAGATGGTGAACCTTTTGCAATTAGAGCTGGATAACAATCCTTTATATCTTCATTGGGATTACAGTCTTGAGCGTGAACATCACCCAAAAGAAACATCATTGCAACAACAATAGCAAGAATAGATCTAGTCTTCATCATTTTACTAATCTTGTGATGAAAACTTGAAAGATATCAATATAAATATTGGGAAACTTGGCTGCTTATTACATTCACTTTGGTATATATGTACTATTAGAAATTAATAATCAAAACAAACAATATTTTAAAGTATGGAAGGGATGATAATGTAACGCAAAAGAAATTTAATGAGGTAATTAAGAATTTTGATAATGTAACGAAAGATTTATATTAGTTAGTTGTAGTCAAACCATAAGATTAAATGGAAGAGTTTAGTTTAGTTCGGTGAATAAAAAGGTTTGGTATTGTTTTTTATAAAAAAAATCAAATGGATTCTTGCTAGAAAAATTGTAAGGTTAGGTAAATAATTTTATAATATTTACTTAAAGTGTATAAAGCTTTGTGAGTTTGTTTAATCCCATAGTAGTATTTGATCAAGTAAAATTGTGTTTGTTTGGTTAATGTATTTCGAACAAATTTAGAGTAATTGTAATTTAAATTTCAATAGAAATTCTGTTTGGTTGACAAAATCAAACGAATTAGAGTTGTTTAGATTTATCATTAATTTTCGCATCCAAAAGAATTTTCCATTATTTGGCTAAAGAACAAGATTTTAGATTTCACTTCTTATGTTTTCTATAAAGACAAAAATGTCATCCCAACTTCTGTTTGTTTTATTCATAATTCATCAAATCAAAAAAAATTATTATCATCTCTCTCAACAAACACCCTGACCACCTATTTAGCCAACCATATACCACCACAAACCCACAAACCCGACCTCAGCCTACATCGATACACACACTACATCCACAAGAACATATCGATGTCGACGCCTAATCTACCCCTACACCCACACCTACACCTGCATGTACACGCCTACCCTACACTCACCTTATACACATCTAACTCTAACACCAACAACGACACCATAATATAACATATGGATACAAAGGCTACTTTTTTTGTATGCACCTAACTTGGAAATGGTTTTTAATTTATAAAAGGATTAATATGTACAAGGTCTTGATGGGAATTAATAAAACCAATAAGGTGAGTGGCATCGGCTCAATGAACATATCGATACACGATGTGATCATACAAAAAGAAAGGTTACAAAAGTACTTAGGCATTAGTCGGGTGGTCACCTGTTATCAAGGGTCTAACAAGAGTTTAAATATTTAAGTAATTAAAAATCAAAATGTTTTGACTAATACATGACATTTTTGATAATTTTAGTCACTAACGATTATTATAAGTTTGACTAATTAAGAACTTATTTTCAAAAGTTTGATCGAATGATTTTTAGTGCATCCTTGACTGGCAAGGATCGACTCTAATTTATAAGAACAATTAGCACTAATCATAGACAATCAGATCCCATCAAACGCCTTGGTGGCCGCTAATGCAAAATTTTACAACATTGATCGATAGTTACTGTGGTACAACATGTTCCCAAGCACAAAAATACATTTTATATATATTTGGAACTCAAATGGTTCAAGTACTCATGTCAAAATGAGTTGCTAACTGTATAAAATTAGGCATTAGTAATAATGAAAGGCTTTAAAGAGTGGATGTTTAATAAGAGCTAAAGGGTGAGACCGTATTGCACCCGATAACGATCTCTCATTATTAGAAGATCAGCTTGGAGACGACCTGAATTTTGCATATGATATTGGGCACGTGGGGGAAAAGTAATGATAAATTTCAATATTAATGTCCTTTTGGGAAACTATTCAAGAAAATAGTTTCCATGCGAAGCAATGTCAACTTGTTTTAGACATTTGAAGCACCATGGTATTAAGTATTAACCGAAACACATTTCATATCCATGTTTTAACATATATATTCAATGTGAATTGAAAACTAAAATATCAATGATACGATCAATAAAATCACCTAAACTCACTTCACTCCCACAACAGAAACCCTGACATACCAACGTATTGTTTGTTAAAATAAATTAAAAGTGTGTTGCATTACATGATCACAAACACTAATATAACAAAAAAGGAAAGTTAAAAAAATTCAAATCAAAACATGAAGAAAATAATTTATTCATCAAGATGTAATTTGTATTGATGTAACAATGACACAACCAAACTACAACCCTAATTCACAAACAGGAAAGAAGTCGCCACAAGTATTGGCAAGATTGGGGAGATATTGGTAGTGTGGTGGCAATATAATCTGATTAATGTCTATGTATTTGCATAGGCAATTTATGTGGTGATCTAATTCTTCACAACAAATTGGCGATGGTGAACCTTTTGCAATTAGAGCTGGATAACAGTCCTTTATATCTTCATTGGGATTACATTCTTGAGCGTGAACATCACCCAAAAGAAACATCATTGCAACAACAATAGCAAGAATAGATCTAGTGTTCATCATTTTACTAATCTTGTGATGAAAACTTGAAAGATATCAATATAAATATTGGGAAACTTTGCTTCTTATGACATTCACTATGGTATATATATATATATATATATATATATATATATATATATATATACTATTAGAAATTAATAATCAAAACAAATAAATCTTTTAAAGTATGTAAGGGATGATAATGTAACGCAAAAGAAATTTAATCAGGTAATTAAGAATTTTGATAATGTAACGCAAGATTTATATTAGTTGTTTTTAGTCAAACCATAGGATTAAATGGAAGATTTTAGTTTAGTTAGGTCAATAAAAAGGTTTGGTTTTCTTTTTGGCAAAAAATCCAATGGATTCTTGCTAGATAAATTGTAACGGTAGGTAAATAATTTTATAATGTTTACTTAAAGTGTATAAAGCTTTGTGAGTTTGTTCAAACCCATAGTGGTATTTGATCAAGTAAAATTGTGTTTGTTTGGTTAATGGATTTCAAACAAATTTAGAGTAATTGGAATTTAAATTATAATAGAAATTCTATTTGGTTGACAAAATCAAACGAATTAGAGTTGTTTAGATATATCATTAATTTTCGCATCCAAAAGAATTTGCCATTATTTGGCTAAAAAAAGATTTTAGATTTCACTTCTTATGTTTTTCATAAAGACAGAAATGTCATCCCAGCTTCTCTTTGTTTTATTCATAATTCATCAAATCAAAAAAAATTACCATCATCTCTCTCAACAAACACCCTGACCACCTATTTAGCCAACCACATACCACCACAAACCCACAAACCCGAGCTTAGCCTACATCGACACGCACACTACATCCACAAGAACATATCGACGTCGATGCCTAACCTGCCCCTACACCCACACCTATACCCGCATGCACACGCCTACGCTACACTACCCTTGTACACATCTAACTCGAACACCAACAATGACACCATAATATAACATATGGATACAAACGCTACTCTTTTTGTATGCACCGAACTTGGAAATGGTTTTCAACTTATAAAAGGATTAATATGTACAAGGTCTTGATGGGAATCAATATGTACAAGGTCTTGATGGGAATTAATAAAATGGTTTTCAACTTATAAAAGGATTAATATGTACACGATGTGATCATACAAAAAGAAAGGTTACAAAAGTCCTTAGGCATTAGTCGGGTGGTCACCTGTTGTCAAGGGACTAACAAGAGTTTATATATTTAAGTAATTAAAAATCAAAATGTTTTGACTAATAGATGAAATTTTTGATAATTTTAGTCACTAACGATTATTATAAGTTTGACTAATTAAGAACTTATTTTGAAAAGTTTGATCGAATGATTTTTAGTGCATCTTGGACCGGCAAGGATCGACTCTAATTTATAAGAACAATTAGCACTAATCATAGACAATAAGATCCCATCAAACGCCTTGGTGGCCGCTAATGCTAAATTTTACAACACTGATCGATAGTCACTGTGGTACAACATGTTCCCAAGCACAAAAATACATTTTATATATATTTGGAACTAAAATGGTTCAAGTACTCATGTCAAAATGACTTGCTAACTGTATCAAATTAGGCATTAGTAATAATCAAAGGCTTTAAAGAGTGGATGTTTAATACGAGCTAAAGGGTGAGACCGTATTGCACCCGATAACGATCTCTCATTATTAGAATATCAGCTTGGAGATGACCTGAATTTTGCATATGATATTGGGCACATGGGGAAAAGTAATGATAAATGTGACAACCCGAAATTTTTTATCTTGTAAGCCCAGCCAATCAATCGAGAGTCAGACTTGTTTCTGCTATCTTTTAGCTTTGTTAAGGGTCATTCTATGAGTTCTAAGCCTAGTACACTCAAGGATTGGGTGTTAGGAAGTGAACCAAGTAAGAACCAAGAGCCTAGAACAACATTTGAGCCATAAAACCCCAACAAGTGAGGTTCACGGCCAAAGTCCGTGTTCACGGCCGTGAACCCCTCCTATATGGATGAATTCTTGCCACTTTTCTTCACTTCTTCTTCTTTTGGCTGCAATCACACCATTCTCTCTCAAGTATCATCCAACAAAGGCTCTCTTTTCACCTCAAAATCGTAAGTATCTCATCCCTTTACTTGTGTATACTTAGAAACCCCTTTGATTCCATATTGATTCATCACTTTTCCTTCAAGATCTTCAAGATCTTCAAGATCATCATCTTTCACCAAGAACACCAAGAACACACACTTGTTCTTGGTGGCCGTGAACACCTTATAGGCTTCCAAATCGTAAGTAGCTCATCCATCTACTTGTTCATACCTAGAAACACTTGATTTCCACACATAAAACAAGCACCAAATGCAAGATCTTCAAGAGTTCACGGCCGTGAACCCTTCATGTGGCCGTGAACCCTTCAAAGATGCTTGATAGGACCGTGAACAATCCTTCCTTGGCCGTAAACCCTTCATATGATCATGCTTAGGTCGTGAACTCCTTTCATACAATCACATGTGATTGTAACACTTCATTCCAAGTGTTTCCTAGTCCCTAAGGTTGTTTCCTTGCATATTAGTTGTTTTAAACACTAATTACATGCTTATATATACCATTATATGTCATTTAGGACTCGTTTTTGTCTCGGGAATTCATT